CAATTAATATTTAAGAGAAATACAGTCGCAGGTTAATGTCCATTCAAATAATGGACTCAAATCCCCCCCCTCTTCCCAGCTCACTAGCTCCTACCTCTCTGAGAAATGTTTGGGTGAAACCACTAGATTTTAACGTTTAGTAATAAATAATACCTCAGACTAAAGTTAGGATAATATAATTGACATTTCTGGATTCCTTGCAGGTCAGGGAATATTTTGAATGTAAACTTCATATATTTTGCACAAAAGATAAAATATTTGCTTTGTGTAAACTAAATTATTACATTAGATCTAAAATTTGTATGTCTAATGCAAAATCCATGATGTTTATATTCAAAATGATCATCATATTGTAAGAATTCCAGCAATGTAAATTATATTCTGGCCGAGTAATTTGTATGAATTTTATGAGCTAAAACACATATCTTCAGTAAATAAACAAAGAAATATTCTTCAAGAACACTATCTGTCAATCAAAATACCCCACCCCCCACCTTCCCTCCCTACCAGAGAAGTGATTGGGAGAAAATAGTATATTTTCATTTTTAGTAATAAATAATAACCCAGACTAAAGTTAGGATAATATAATTGACATTTCTAGATTCCTTGCAGGTCAGGGAATACGTATTTTGAATGTAAACTTCATATATTTTGCACAAATAATAAAATATTTGCTTTGTGTAAACCAAATTATTACATTAGATCTAAAATTTTAACAGTGGGGTATGCTATAACGAATCTAATTGGTTCTAGAACCTTGTTCGTTATAGCATTCGTTCGTTATAGGATTAATCCGTTCCAGGCCCCGAAATAAAACCACTTAACACTGAAAAATATAATATAAAATTGTAAAAAAGTGCATAAATATGCATCTAAACCCCTGAAATAAAGAATATCATTAATACTTGTAATAAAAAAACAATAAATTAGTTAAAAAAAAAATAAATAAAAAATAATGTTCGTTGTAGGAGTTTTGTTCATTATAGCATTCTCAATTTTATAGGTAAAACCATTCGTTATAGGAATATTCGTAGTAGGATCCGTTCGTTATAGCATACCCCACTGTATGTCTAATGCAAAATCCATGATGTTTATATTCAAAATGATCATCATATTGTAAGAATTCCAGCAATGTAAATTATATTCTGTCAGGGTAATTTGTATGAATTTTATGAGCTAAATAAAAAAAATAATAAAAGAAATTATACTTCACCGCGTATATGAGTAGATGCACCGCGGAAAGTGAAAGTCCGGTTCTGGCAAGGTACCGCGTAAATGAGAAATCGCGGAAAGTGAAACTGTGTAAAGCGGGGTAATACTGTATTGGAATTTTCCTAAGTTTGGAAGTAATAGGCATAGATTATACATGAAATATTAAATAAAGTGTTTAAAAATATGCCAAATATTACAGGATACAGTTACCAGACAACCATAGTATAATGAGACAAACTCACATGAAGAAGATTACATATCGGTAGAATATTGATAGTAAGAGAAATGTAAAGAGAGGAAGACTTTGGTAGCGTGCCCGTGTTAGTTATTTGAACTACACTTACACTTATCTTATTTTATATGTCAATACACATCTATTACGTTCATAAGGACGACTTCTCAAACACCGCTTCGTTACAACTGTTTATTAATTACGACAATGACATGGACACATTAATAACACCTTCTATCGAAGTTACTAGGACATTATATTTACGTTACTAGGACATCATATTACGTTACTAGACACTGATTCTCGGATCATGAACATGAAATGAATACACTTCCCACGTAAGTAACTCATCCCATGGAAAGCTCTGACAAAAACTCACGTGACCTAGGGGAGGCCTAGCCGGTGGTCCTGGGTTGTCTCTATGGGAGACTGCTTAGCTGGGCACCGGAGGGAAGTCTCGCTCCTGACCGGGGGCGACTGCCTCCGGTCCTCTCTGACTCCTCTCGAGCGGGCCTGGGGACGTAGTAGCTGGCCCTTCCTGGTCACAAGACACACTCTCTCTCTCTCTCTTTCCCTCTCGAGGGAGGGTTACGACGTCCTATATATTGGGAGACGTCAGGTTGAGCTGATCGGGGGGGGGCGGCGAAGGGTCTCCTTACATTTGCCCTCGCTAATGTAGGGTCAAGTCTGGACTGTTTCTGAGACTATAAGTTGTTGTATATTCTGGAGAAATCTTCAGATGAATGCTTGTCTGTTAACATCGTTGGTGGGGTCATGTGACATGAGAGGCTCTGGTTGATTTGTGGCCCCTTGACTTGGGCTCGAGGGTTACATTTGACCTGGCTAATGTGAGGTTTGGTCTGGGCCTTGTCTGAGATGTACTGTAGTTGTGTATATTGGGAGAGAGTCGGCAGGTGGTTTCTTACATGTTTGTTGGGGCTGTGTGACATGGGAAGGGGAGCTAGTTGATTTGTAACTCCTTGAGTGGCCACGAGGGTTACCCTTACACTTGACCCCCCTAATGTCGGGTCAGGTCTGGACTGTTTCTGAGATGTAAGCTGTGGTCTGACAACCCATCACTACAATAGGATGAAAGAGGTGCTGTACATAATTTTTATTTTTTTCCTCAAAAGAAATGATAATAGATTGTTAATTAAAGACAACAGGTGGAATACCTAGTACAGTAGGGTTGGGATATATCGCAAGATATGGTCCAAGGATGTTTGCCATATACTAAATCATGATACAGTATATAATTATATGTAATCAATGGGGAAAATAGGGTTAGGTTCTGGAGGTCAATAAAAGTGGCTAAACTTGACTTAACGAGTTTATTTTCTTACTAACTAAAGCACCAATGAACACTAGACTCGGGAACAACAGACTGTTTCAATATCAGTATCAATATCAAGGAACACCAGACTCAGGAACACCAGACTCGGCAGCAGACGCCACACTGCCACCCTCACTTGACAATCCAACACCTCCATAAGTGAACAAACCAAAAATATGAGTTACAGTATTAAATCTTTTGTATTTAGCTTTCCATTCTCTTCACATCACTAGCAACCCATTTACACTCACCTTAGAAGTCGTAATCTGCAGCAGAGTCGGCTGCTTACCGTATTTTGCGGCGTAGAAGACGCACTTTTTATTACAAAAATATACCTTGAAAATTACCATGCGTCTTCCACGATGCTAGTTGATGGGTTGTAGCAGAGGTTTTCTTAGGGTCAACTAAAATCAGCCTCTTACAAAGACTGTTACCTCATTACAGTACTTAGCAATTACAAGTATTCTCTGTAAACTACAGTACTATAAAACAATTGATTTAACTAATATTGTTGATATACTGCGAAAATGAGATTATTTACTTACTCAGTAGGTAAAAAATAACAAATAAATGGCTGCAGCTACACAACCCTTGCTGCTGTGCGGATTGTTTACTTATGGCAGTGGTGCGGCACTGCCATCTATTGAGGAATTGCGAAAGGTTGTCTGCTGGTCTCAAAGCGCAGGGAGTTCATGCTGAGTGATAGAGAGGGGAGTGAGGGATCTCAGCTGTTCTAAGCTGTCTTCTTTGTGTAGTGAAATGTTTGACAAATTTTGTTACATTTACTGGTACTGTACTACATTATTTTATCTTTTTCCTCATAGGAGTTGGTAACTGGTGGGAATTCAGTTTCAGAGTTGGTAAAACTGTCCATAACATCAACACTAGTTTTTGTCACCAAGGCAGAAAGTGTGAGACTAAATTTTGCCAGGATGTAAGTCAGTGTATGCCTGTACACTAGTGGTGATTCCCCATGCTCCACGATCTTGAATACAGGCAATGGGCTTTTTAGGAAACATCTGGTACTGGGGATGGACTGTGGTGTAGCTTAGGGGAGATGTTTCTCTTTTTGTTGGGGTGCCTGTTACTTATGGACCTTTTGATTGCACACCAACCCCTCACATTTGCTAACAGTCAAGTTTTATTAGCTACCTGGATACAAGGCATCCAGTCTTAAATTTTTTATTATCCTGATTTCATATTTTATTATTAGGTTCAAAGAAAAGTGGCCTAGACACCCTCTCTCTTTCATGTCTTGTGCAGAGTACAGTATGCTAGAAATGAAAATACTAGGTTTAGCCAGTTCTAATATAACAAAGTCTAGTGATTAGTAGGCAAGGTGTTTGCACTCAAATACTCTTGGTGAAACCACATTCTCAATATAGACAGACAGACCTGCTTACAGTGGAAACTTTAGCAGTCAAATTTTCCCAATTTAGGAAGACAACTGTCATGGGAGGAATTATCAATTCTTAATCATTTGATTGGTTAGTGACAGTCAGGGTCAAAAGTCTTGAACGCTTAGCAATACCTGGCATCTACTTCTGAGTTACACATACAGTGGGGCATGCTATAACGAATGGATTCTATTACGAATATTCCTATAACGAACGGTTTTACCTATAAAATTGAGAATGCTATAACGAACGAAACTCCTAGAACAAATTTTTTTTTCTTTTGTTTTTGTTACTAATTTATTGTTTTTTTATTACAAGTATTAATTATATTCTTTATTTCGGGGGTTTAGATGCATATTTATGCACTTTTTTACAATTTTTTTCAATTTTATATTATATTTTTCAGTGTTAAGTGGTTGTATTTGGGGGCCTGGAACGGATTAATCCTATAACGAACGAATGCTATAACGAACAAGGTTCTAGAACCAATTAGATTCGTTATAGCATACCCCACTGTATATGATTGGGGTATATTAATAACACTACTTGTCATCACATATTATGCCTGAACCACAAAATGGGATAAAACTCTCCGTTATACCTAAGATCTTTGGGTACTTACATGCCAAATACTGTCAAGTGTTCAAGAATTTTGAACCTGATTGTGCATTACATGAGCTGTCTGGCTTTGAGCTCAAAATTTAAGAATCAATCCATCATTAATGATGAACATTTTTAACTAATAGTAGGCAAAAAAATTTGACCTATGAGTCACGACTTTTTACCCTTAAGATGTATGAACTGAGTATATTTTTTCTTTTCACAGGTCAATGAATTTGAATGTAAACACCTTGAAGAGAGAATGCAGACTGAGGAATTCTTTATTGTCATGATGAAATTTTTTAGTAGAAATTCAAAACTATAAGGAACTTAGGCTGTGATACAAAGTGTGTACAGTGCATAGTCTTACAGTTATAGTATGTATCATGTGTCTCCAAGAGTGTCCCAGAACTCATGAGGCTCGTCAATATCTATATTGTTTTTATTGTTCACTTTGTATATATTTTGGGGCTAAATAAACTATTTACTTATTTTTCAATGGTTAAGGTTATAATATATACAGTAATACACTGCTTAGTGCACAGGATGCATTCCTAAGAAGAGAGCACTAACTGAATCAGCACTAAATGGGATCATGAAATCATTATACTATACAGTACTATATTTAAGTTGTGAAATCCCTCCTTGCTACCTACAACATGGAGGAAAGGCAAAGTCGACAAGTTAAAATAATGAGCAAATAATCTAGGGGTTGAAATACGTAATTTACATTTTTAGTAATAAATAATAACTCAGACTAAAGTTAGGATAATATAATTGACATTTCTGGATTCCTTGCAGGTCAGGGAATATTTTGAATGTAAACTTCATATATTTTGCACAAAAGATAAAATATTTGCTTTGTGTAAACCAAATTATTACATTAGATCTAAAATTTGTATGTCTAAGGCAAAATCCATGATGTTTATATTCAAAATGATCATAATATTGTAAGAATTCCAGCAATGTAAATTATATTCTGGCCGGGTAATTTGTAGGAATTTTATGAGCTAAATAAAAAAATATAAAAAATTATATGTCACGCTATATGAGTAAAGATCTTGCAACTAGAATTAAACATCACAAATACAGTGTTAGGACAGGCCAGGAATCCAATGCTCTGTTTGTTCATTTGAGGGATAACAAGCATTGCATTGACTGGGATAATGCCTCCTCAATATTACCATGTAATTCAATTGATAGTAGGAACATCATAGAATCTAGTCTTATTAAACATACCGAAGCATTCAACATGAATTTGAGTAACGGCATGTACAAGCTGGACAATTTTGTAATTAAGAAGATTTGTGATCAGGTGAGAAGGCCGGGTCACTTGACCATCTGACCTGACCACCAACCGTTGTGTGCTATTTAAAGATTAGTAGGGTCATTACCTAATACCTGACCATTGTGGACCTGGTCTCACCCTCCTCTGTATATATACACCTTGATTTGTATTACTCTCTCTAGTCTGTACTCACCCCTGAAGATGTGAATTACACGAAAGCGCTTGGGAACTTCGTGTTTTCTTCTTTCCTTGTGGTTATCAGCATATACCTAGATCAAGCGCACCTACAGTGATTTACTTGCATATATATATATATATATATATATATATATATATATATATATATATATATATATATATATATATATATATAGTATATATATATATATATATATATATATATATATATATATATATTTTTTGGATCTATGAAGATCTTCCCCCAAAGTATCAACTGAGGTCTCCCCAGGCTAGATCATATGAAGATCCTCCCCAAGTGGTTTGGGGGGTAGGTTAGGAATTAGGTTAGGTTAGGTTAGGTTTGGTTTGGGTTTGGTTAGGTTAGGTTGGGTTAGGTTTTAATGTTTTTATTTTTTTTTTTTGTTAGGTTAGGTTAGGTTGGGTTACAATTTTTTTTTTTTCATTTTTAAATTTTTTTAGGTTAGGTTAGAGTTTAGGTTAGGTTAGGTTAGGTTAGTTACAATTTTTTTTTTTTTTTTTTTTTCATTTTTTTTCGTTTAGGTTTAGGTTGGGTTAGGTTACAATTTTTTTTCTTTTTTTTTTCTTTTTTTAATTTTTTTTTTAGGTTAGGTTAGGTTAAGTTTTTTTTTTTTTTTTTTCATTTTTTTTTTTTTTAAGTTAGGTTAGGTTAGGTTAGGTTAGTTTACAATTTTTTTTTTTTTTTTTTTTTTTTTTTTTAGGTTAGGTTGGTTAGGTTAGGTTAGGTTAGGTTAGGTTAGGTTAGGTTTGGTTAGGTTAGGTTTGGTTTGGTTAGGTTAGGTTAGGTTTTTTTTTTCGGAAAATTTGGGAAAATTTTTGGAAAAATTTCAGAAAAATTTCGGAAATTTTTGAAAATGTATGGAAAATTTTGGAAAATTTTCTGAAAATTTGGGACATTTTTGAAAATTTCGGAAAATTTGGGAAAAATTTGGAAAATTTTTGAAAATTTTGGAAAAATTTCTCAGAATTTTCTGAAATTTTGGAAAATTTCTGAAAATACTGAAAATTTTGAAAATTTTGGAAAATTTTAAATTACAAAATTTTTGAAAATTTTGGAAAATTTTTGGAAAATTTTGGAAAATTTCGGAAATTTTCTGAAATTTAAAATTTTTGGAAAATTTTGGAAATTTTGAAATTTTCTGAAAATTTCTGGAAAAATTTGAAATTTTTGGATAATTTTGGAAAATTTCGGAAAATTTTGGAAAAATTTGGAAAATTTGGGAAAATTTTGGAAAAATTTCAGAATTACTTTCTGAAAATTTCTGAAAATATTTGGAAAATTTATTACAGAAATTTGAGAAATTTTTGAATGGAAATTTTGGAAATTGGGAAAAATTCTCAAAATTTGTGGAAAATTTCGGAAAAATTTCGGAATTTTGGAAATTTGAAAATTTTGGAAAAATTGAAATTTTGAAATTTTGAATTTTCGAAAATTGGAAATTTGAAAAATTTTTGAAAATTTTTGGAAAATTTTTCGAAATTTTTGGAAAATTGGAAATTTTGGAAATTTGGAAAATTTTGAAATTTTAAATTTGAAAATTCTTGGAAAATTTTGGAGAATTTTCTGAAATTTTTGGAAGAATTTTCGGAATTTTTTGAAAAATTTTCTGAAATTTTGAAAATTTTGGAAATTTGAGAATTTTGGAAAATTTTCGGAAGAATTTGAGAAAATTTCGGAAAATTTGGGAAAAATTTCGGAAAATTTTGGAAAAATTTGGAAAAATTTCGGAAAATTTTGGAAAATTTTGGCAAATTTTGGGAAATTTTCGAAAATTTCTGAAAATTCGGAAATTTTTGGATAATTTTGGAAAAATTTCGGAAAATTTTGGAAAATTTCGGAAAATTTTGGAAAAATTTGGAAAATTTTGGAAAAAATTTGGGAAAAATTGGGAAAATTTTGGAAAATTTTGGAAAAAATTTCGAAATTTTGGAAAATTTCAAATTGGAAAAATTTCGGAAATTTTTTAAAATTCGAAATTTTTGGAAAAATTTCTTGAAAATTTGGGAAAATTTGGAAAATTTTGTATGAATTTTTGAAAATTTTCTGAAAATTTTGGAAAAATTTTCGGAAAATTTGGGAAAAATTTCGGAAAATTTTGGAAAAATTTCGGAAAAATTTCAAAATTTTGGAAAATTTAGAAAATTTTGGAAAATTTCTGAAAATTTTGAAAATTTTTGGAAATTTCTGAAAATTTGGGAAATTTCTGAAAATTTGGAAAATTTTGAAAATTTTGGGAAAAATTTTGGAAAATTTGGAAAATTTGTTTGGAAAAATTTCTCGAAATTTTTGGAAAATTACAAAATTTTGGAAAAATTTTCTGGTTTTTGAAGAATTTGGAAAAAATTTGGAAAAAATTCCAGGAAAAATTTTGGGAAATTTTGAAATTTTGGAAAATTTTCTGAAAATTGCGAAATTTCTGAAAAATTTTAAGAATTTTGGAAAATTTTCTGAAAATTTTGGGAATTGGAAAAATTTGGAAAATTCGAATTTTGGAAAATTTTTGAAAATTTTGGAAAATTTGGAAAATTTTTGGAAATTTTTGGAATTACTAATTTTGAAAATTTTCTGAAAAATTGGAAAAATTTCGGAAAATTTGGGAAAAAATTTTGAAAATTTTAAGAATTTTGTGAAAATTTTTGGAAATTTTGGAAAATTTGGAGCTGGAAAATTTCGGAAATTTTGGAAAATTTTGGAAAATTTTCGGAAAATTATCTGAAATTTTGGAAACGGAATTTTTGAATAATTTGGGAAATTCGGAAAATTTGGAAAAATTTGAAAAATTTTGGAAAAATTTTGGGAAAATTTTGGAAAATTGGAAAAAATTGGGAAAATTTGGGAGAAAATTGGAAAAATTTTTGAAAATTTCGATTTTGGAAAATTTCGGAAAATATTTGCAAAAGAATTGAATTTGGAAAGTTTTGGAAAGATTTTCAAATTTTGGAAAATTTTCAGAGAAATTTGGGGAAAATTCTGCAAAATTTGGGAAAATTTCGGAAAAAATTTTGGAAAATTTTGGAAAATTTTGAAAATTGGAAAAAATTTCGAAAATTTTGGAAAATTTTGAAAAATTTTGGAAAAATTCTGAAAATTTTTAGGAATTTGGAAAATTTTCTGAAAGTTTGGGAAATTTCTGAAAATTTAGGAAAATTTTGGAAAATTTTCGGAAATTTTGGTGGAAAATTTTTTAAATTTTGGAAAATTTTCGGAAATTTTGGAAAAATTTCGAAAATTTTGAAAATTTTGGAAAATTTTCGGGAATTTTCTGAAAATTTGGAAAATTTTCCGAAGAATTTAGAAATTCGGAAAAATTTTGGAAGAATTTTGGAAATTTTGGAAAATTTGAAAATTTTGGAAAATTTTCGAAAATTTTGGAAAATTTTGGAAAAATTTGGGAAAAATTTCGGAAAATTTTGAAAAATTTTGGAAAATTTTGGAAAATTTTCTATAATTTGAATTTCTAGGAAAATTTTGGAAAATTTTGAAAAATTTCTGAAAATATTTGAAATTTTGGAAAATTTTTAGAGGAATTTTTGGAAATTTTCTGAAAATTGGAAAATTTCGGAAAATTTTGGAAAAATTTGGAAGTATTCATGGAAATTTTGGAAAAATTTTGGAAAAATTTGATTTTGAAATTTTTGAAATTTTCTGGAAAAATTTCAAAAATTTCTGGAAAATTCTAGGAAAAATTTTCGGAAAATTTTGGAAGAATTTTGAAAATTTTCAAAATTTTCTGAAATTTTTGGAAAATTTTGGAAAAATTGGGAAAAATTTGGAAAAATTTGGGAAAATTTTTGGAGAAAATTTGGGAAGAATTTTGGAAAATTTTGAAAGTAAATTTGGAAGAATTGGAAAAATTTCAGGAAAATTTTGGAAGTTTTCTGGAGAATTTTGGAAAATTTTCAGAAAATTCTGAATTTTGAAAAATTTTGGAAGAATTTTGGAAAATTTTCTGAAAATATTTAGAAATTTTGGAAAATTTTTGGAATTTTGGAAGGTAGAAAATTTTGGAAAATTTTTCGGAAAATTTGGAAAAAATTCGGAAAATTTTCTGAAAAATTTGAAATTTTTGGAAAATTTGGAAAATTTTGGAAAATTTTCGGAAATTTTTGGATTTTCTGAAAATTTTCGAAAATTTTCGGAAAATTTGGAAAAATTCGGAAAATTTGGAAAATTTTTGAAAGATTCTCAAATTTTCTAAATTTTGGATAATTTGGAAAAAAAATTTGGGAAAATTTGGAAAATTTCGGAAAATTTTGGAAGAATTTGGGAAAATTTGGGAAAATTTTGGAAAATTTT